TATACATCAATCATGCATTTACTTTAGCCACAATTTTATCAAAAAACTTGAATAAGGTCAACATAGATTCATCATAGAAATATCATATGGTTAAAGAAAACTTCAGCCAAGGATTTTTTATTCTTAGAAGTTAATCAGCATTAAGTCAATGATCATTCAATTACTGCACTTCTATCAGAAAATCTGAATAAGGTCAAGTTCATAGAAATATCATATAGTCAATGAAACCTTCAATCAAGGCTTTTTATGCTTAACAAGCTAACCTACATAATCTCAAAGATCACTTAATTTTAATTCCATTCATTAGGCTTACTTCACTCACCAATTTTTGGGTTTAGTCATTGTTAATCTAACATGTGCTTCTCATCATGAAAGTGCAATGATAAATGGACAGCTTAAACTTGATGTATAATTTACAAAAAAAAATTTAATAGAATAGCATGACCAATTAAAATTCTCAAAGGTCATATAGATGAAAACTTAGCTAACAAAACCAACCTTGGTGTAAAATCTGGGTTCACGGTAGTGTGTTGGATTATGTTTCCTTTTCGAGTCACCAGATTGATGAAAACAAGACTCTCTGAAGAATATGAATCCACCAACCTTTAACCACGAAAGCATCCTTTGTGCCAACTTCTCAACCTACGTGTCAAGGTGAAAATTTTTATATAGAACAGAGCAATGATATTAAAAAAGCAAAATGGATTAATAAGTTTGCGAGTATAATTAGACAGGCAGAGAAAGGAAAAACCACATATCAGATGTCACCAACACATTATACACAAGTTCACATATAAAAAAGATAAAAAGAGACCACATAACAGAGAACCAATACACTCAAAAAGAGGGAAATCGGTTAAGTTCATGATATTTAGGAACAGGTAAGTGCATGAAAAAATAAGAAACATGCACCCAAAGAGCAACTACGAACTGTGAATTTGGGGCAAGATTACCATTCGTCAATTGGAAAAGTTTTTGGGCCAAAAATTATAATTATTTAACATGTTCATACACCAGCAAATATTCATCAGAGGGGAAAAAAGAGCAACATCACAATGAGGAAACTATATATCCCAAGAGCTAATATCTAGAATTTGTTAAATAAATATTCAAACTACAAAAGAACAATAGAGTAAATCTGAACAACTACACGATGAGGAAGAGATACAGGAGGAATTATAATAGAAAGTTTGAAATTCAAATCAGTTAAGTTCCAGATCACAGCAACTTGAAGATCAAAGCTCTTTAATATTTGCTTATTGCCAAGAAGTTATTGCAATTTTGCATTCATTGTTTTTTTTTTTTTTTTTGATAAAATTTTATATTCTTTGTTATTGCTTTATAACTTGGTCACTCGTATGCTATCCTGCGAAGGCCGGATAAACCAATTATGCAACATATACCTCTTCATCTGAGAGATACATCAGAAGCCAATTAGAGAATATCATGTCCACTGATTCATCAGAAATTTTCAAGTCTGGGCACGTGACGTCAGCACACATGAATTTGACATTCTTATAGTGCCCATTCACGCTTTCATTCTGTTAAGAATATTTTGAAAGAAGAAATTCAGACAAGCTCCAAGAACAAATAAGAAATATGCTAATATTACACAGACTGGGTAATGATCAAAGTAAGCACCTTCTTAATCGCACTCTCAATGAAGTCCATGGCCATAACACTTCCGGCCTTCTTAGCCAACTCACCAGTGAAACGACCAATACCTGCTCCAAGCTCCAAAACTGATTTTCCTTCATACGGTGGGAGCAGAGAAAGTACCTGCGATTACATAAATCAACTGAATCCCAGAAATTTTGGCAATGACAAGATAGCAGTATGATTTTCCAAAATCACTTAAAAAGTAGCACAACGTTTTTGGCAGCGACAACTAAGCAGAGGACACGGAGAAGTGATCAAAAGAGATCCAGTTCGCAAATAAAAAAGTACAGGATGACTTTAAAGATGGTCTTTTTTTTTATAATATATACAGCGAACAGCTTCAAAACGATGAAACAAAATTATTTCAAAAATTACGTTAACCTCCTCAAAATCCGGAAACATCTACATCTATTTTCTTTCTTATTGGACAATGATTTCTTTTTAGATAAAATGGTGATTATCGGGGATTTTCTAATTGGAAAATGATTAGATATGTGTTATAAGAAATTATCACAGAAAACAAAAGCGAGATGCATATAGAAATGAACAGACATATACATATAGAAGGGGAGAGAGAGAGAGATTACTTCGGGTCGCTCTTCTTTGTCGAGATCAGAGGCTTTGGAGTCGAGCATCATAGACTCCACAGTCAAATCCACGGAATGCTCCATCCAGTACTTCTTTTGAATCTCGCGCTCTTCCCCTTCCATAACCAAAACGTACAAAATGCATGAGAACAACAAAAAAAAGTCCATAACTCAAAGAGTATTTCAAAATTCAAGCAGCGATCAATCAAACAGGACCAAAGTTACAGAGTCCTGACACTTCAAAATTCAAACAGGTCTCAACAATACAATCACATCGCATCTCGTTCATTAACGAAATGGAGTTAGAGATCTCACCGTAAGAAGCCATTGTCTGATTCTAGGGAGACAGAAAGAGATGCAGAGAGTTTAACGAGTGTTTGGATGGGAAGACAGAGAAAAAGGAATAGAGAGAGAAGCACGGTTGTGTTGTGAGGTGTAGTCAGCTAAAAACCCTCAATGGCAAGTCTAGATCTGGAGAAGCTCCTGGATCTTCGGTTGTTTACTCGACCTCTCTGCTGCATCAATTCATCAACTTGACGAAATCACAACAAACCTCTGGCCAGCTCTCATAGGCTCGGCAATGCTGTATCATGCGCTTAAACTCGGGATCCACATTGCCTTTTTATAGCCGGCGGTTAGGGCTTTTATTTAAAATATAATTCAAAACTATTATTATTTTATTTTCCCTTCTAACAGAGTTAAAAGATCCGATCTCAAATATTTTAATCATTTTTATTTATTTTGATAAATTAATTATTAATATTATTTATTAAATTAATAAAGAGAAGAGGATAAAGGGCGAGAGACATTGGAAAGATGCATGAATAGGCAGAGAGGTTAAAATGACGAAATTAGTCCCCACTGCAAGTGATTTCTGTGACGCCGTCAATTTGTCATTATGCTGATACACGATATCTTGGTTCGGTAACTGGGCCATAAAACGACGACGTCACGCCTTCATCCGATTCACGTGCCTGTTTGATGTTTAACTTTAACTGATTTCCGTGGCACAACGTACCAACCACGATTCAACTGGGACCCACAATTAATGATATAATCTCTTCCTAGTTTTTACGTTCCTCGAATTGAACGTCCAAATAATACACATTTTTATTTTAAAAAATATTTAATTATATGAGATTTATTTTTAGTATTTTTTATTGAAATTTAAAACTATAACATACTTTTTATTACATTGGTTTAGTTAATTTGATTGCTATTTTTATAACTTTGCAAGCGTGTGAAATAAAATTTAAAATAGTTTGCAATATAATTATTTCAATTTATAAATAAACAATAATTTAATTAGTATATACTTATTATTATAATCATGCCTAGAAAACTTATATGTAAAGAGATCTATATATACATTTTAGAAAACATATAATTTATATGTACTAAAGTTTAAAAGACTTATGTACATGAACACATTTAATTTTTTATTTAATATTTATTAAGAAATAAATTTTGAAATGAAGAATTATATTTATTAGTAGTAATTAGTTTTTTTATAAAATTATAAATTGAATTACAATTACATATATATATATATATATCCCATAAACAAAAACTTCCTTATGTTGTGATTAATTTTTTTAATTAAAGTATTATAGAATAAACTTTAATGTAATTCTGTTCTTAAGAAAAACATCCTCGAGATTCACATTTTTTTACAGAGTGGTTTCATAGATAGGGCCAATAACCTAACATTATTATACTAGCCTTCAATTTATATTCATTTCTTTATAACTATAGGAGATTATTGTTTTTTTCCCAAACATTAACTATACATAATAATACTAAATAAATGGTACAAGATTCCCTATAAAAAAAATGCTATAAAATAACATTTTAAATACAAATTATTATATTTTTTCTTATACGTAACGAGATCTTATTTGATAAAAATAGTAAAAATATTAGATTGTTTAAATTAAATCATAAAAATTTAAATTTAAAAAGGTATGTTAAGTCAATTTATATACTTTATGTGTTTAAAATTATATTTTGGATTGAGTTATATTTCAAATTAAGTTGTGTTTACTCTTAGTAAATCTTTATATAAATGTCAAATTATGTTATTTGAAATTCAATATTATATCAGCAATAAGTCAGTCAAGGTCGGATGTGAATTAAGTAGAACACTATATCAAAAATTGCATATTTGTGTTTTAAATTAAAAAAAAAAATTCCAATCTACAATAAAAAAATATATATTTTATGTTTAAATTATTGTTTTATTTTAATTAAGATAGTACATAATATATAAATAAATAAGAAACATTATCGTAAGGAGAACTTAAAAAATAGAGTGAAATAAGATTACTAGTAATGATAAAATAAAATATGTAATATTCTAATTTTATTCAGAGTAATTTTTATTTTTATTTTTTGAATTTATAAAAAAATATAAAATTATTATTATTATTATTTTATTTACAAAATTTATCTTAAAAAAGCAATATGTAATGACAAATTATTACCTATACATCATATAATTCGTATGCATTTAGCAATTTATTTTGTCTTAATAAAATAATAATATTTTATGGCATACGCTTTTTTCATATGTTTTTGAAAAGACTGCTAATGACTTGGAAGAAGAGGCGATCGGGGTTTGATATGGGACCCCAAAAGAAATAATTGAAAGCATAAGGTTCCGAAACTATCACTACCCACTAATCAATTCCTAAAATGTAAAAGGGGAAAGAAAAAAGAAAAGCATTTTTATAGCCTTAATTGATTATAAAACAAAATTCTTACATGTGGTCGTGTGTCTGTGTGTGTGTGTATAATCAATTAGGTGAGAATTCAAATTTAACTTGATAATTTTTATAGTTTAAAAATTTTAAATTTTTTTAATATTTAGACTAATATCTTAATGTTTTTTTTTTTAAAAAAAGGAAAGAGAATGTCAAATTTTTATTATATTGTGATTATTCTGATAAAAAATAATTTAACTATCACGTAATATTTATTTTATCTGAATTTATCGTGGTTCGCTTAAACTAATCATAATATAATCTCATTAATATACTACTGATTTAAACTATTAAAACAGAGACGGAATAGATATGACCAGAAGATTGAACATGTTTTTGAAATGTTGCACGTAAATTGTCAAGAATTAGATGTACAAGCTCCTTCAGGCTCGTAACCTCAACTTAAACCAACAGATAAAGGTATTATATCGTTGTTAAAAGGTGAGAAAAACTATATAATGCAGCAATAATGAGCGACTTCGAGTTGGAATTTATGATATTCTAAAAATCGCATTTCACACTCATTATTGCCATTACAAATTTTAAGTAATATCGTCTTAGCTAACAAATGTGTCCACCACTTGTTAACTAAATACTGTTGGTCAGACTAAATAACTTAATTAATGCATTTAAATGTATTTATGATGCATGACTCATCAAACATTCAGAGTTTGGACTAAATGGTTGGCCTTGGTAGTACGATACAATTTATTACTCAATTTTGAAGCTCATCTCATGTTAAACTATCTATGGATATATAACTCCTAATTTTATAGATACTATGAAATTTACAATTCCCTTAAAGGTTGCAAATCAATTTGATAGTTTAAAGACATTAGATGATCTAAATTATATGACAAAAGTTGATAGAGGCTAAAAAAAAAAATAAAACAGTCTGTAGGTATGCATTGGATTTAAAGATAGATGCATGAAAAGAGCTTGGTTTTGCTAAAGCTCTAACCTTTCGACAAATCTCTGTTACAGGTCCTCACAACTCAAAGCAACCTCCACATTTTTAAAGTTATTTAAAAGATTCGTGATATCCATATATGTTAAATATTCATGATACTTGAAAGATTCACTCGGTCTTTCATATATCATAATTAAAGAAATATTTTTGAAGAAAACAACATTTTCTTGAAGATCATCTTTGTTATGATTTTGACATAACTACAATTATTGAGCTTTCTCACATCTTGCAGTACATATGAGTTATCAAAGATAGTAAAAAAAAAAAAAGATTAATCTTAATTCAATGAAGTAAGTGTAGAACAAAGACGGAATTTGAGATATTTTAAATTTTTCTAGTAGTACGTGCTTAATATAAACCTTAAAGTCAAAATTGG